TGCTGCTGGTGGTGCTGCTGGTGCTGGTGCTGCTGGTGCTGGTGCTGCTGGTGCTGCTGGTGCTGCTGCTGGTGCTGCTGGTGCTGCTGGTGCAAAGATAGACATTATCCTCAGCAAGCAGCATCGCAGTGACTATCCCCGGGTCATGATCACAGGACCATGGCAATTAGTATCACTGCAGAAGCAGCCGCAAAAACAAGAGCTGCCCATGGATGCTGCTGCTGCTGCTGCTGCTGCTCCTGGGAGCAACAGCCACCGTCGTCCAAACACCAGAAGCCAGCAGCAGCAGAAGCAGAAGCAGAAGCAGAAGCAGCATCAGACAACAGTGACAATGATGGCAAACACAATGACGGTGCAGCAGGATGCCCGCCCCAAGAAGCAGGGCACCAAACCCCAGAAGCAACAGCTGCAGCGGGGCAAGAAGACACAGGTAAAATGCAAGAACACCAAGGCCGCTTATTGCAGTAAGGGGGGTGCGGATCTTGATGTGTACACAAGCTCCACAAACGCATGCCGGCTCATTTTGTGGGCCTTCCGTGGACCTCCTCCATCCCTCCTGTTGCCCAACCATCATCCAGTGTCTGCTGTCCCGTCTATGCAGCAGCAACAACCCCAGCAGCAACCTCAACAACAACATGTGCTGCCGCACACACAGTATGATGCGATGCACATCTGTGACGAGCGTGCATGCATCAACCCGTTTCATCTTGTGTGGGGAACACGTGCTGAGAACCGGCGTGGTCATCAAGGACGGGATGGTAGCATGGGCTATAGCCGCCTGCCTCCGGTGCAGCAGGGCAGCATCCTCCGTTTCGGAAGCAGCAGCAACATTTCAGCGGCAGCAGAGCAGGAAGTAGGAGATGCTGCTCGGATGCTGCTCTATCTGTTTGATGGGCACCCACCAATTCGGAAATGAGATGTTTGGCTGACAGGATATGACGTAGACGAATAATGCATGACAGGCAGGTTTATGTGTGTGAGTATGTATGTGTGTATGTGTGTATGTGTGTGTGTGTGTGTGTGTGTCTCTGTCTTCGTGTGTATGTGTGTGTCTCTGTCTTAGTGTGTGTTCGACTGTGTGTGTCTGTCTTTGTGTGCGTTTGACTGTGTGTGTCTCTGTTTATGTATGTGTGTCTCTGTGCCTCTGTGTGTGACTGTGTGTGACTCTGTGTGACTCTGTGTGTGTGAATGTGTGTCTCTCTGTCTCTGTCTGTCTGTGTGTCTCTGTGTCTTATGTTACCCCAACACCAACATATACCCGAATAGTTCTGTGGCCGTGTGTGTGCATGTTTTCATGTTACCCCAACACTACCATGTGCCCCAACAGTCCTGTGTGTGCGTGTGAGGTTGTGTATGGGTGGTTGTGTGTTTTATTGTTACCCCAACATCGCCTGCTTGTGTGTACATGGGGGGCGTGTGTGTGTACCACATGGGTGTTTACACACACAGACACACACAGACAGAAAGAGAGAAGAGAGAGAAGAAACAGAGAGAGAAAAAATCGAGTTGGTGCCACAAGCGTTGATGTAGCCTGAGGAGTACTCCACCATGGGACTCCACCAAGGACGTCTGTCTGTCTGTCTGTCTGTTTTTCTTTATTTCTTACTTTCTTCCTTTATTTATTTATTTATGTCTGTCTGTCTGTCCGTCCGTCTGTCTGTATGTATGTCTTTTTCTTTCTTCCTTTCTTTCTTCCTTTCTTTCTTTACCTATTTATGTCTGTCTGTCCGTCACTATGACGACGGGTGATCGCGTTACATCGCGTTAAATTCGCGTTACGAGGCTTTAACGCGAGTTTAACGCGATGCTAACGCGATGTAACGCGATTTTAAGCACTGATAACGCACCGGTTCGCTTGAGCGTATGGCATAACGCACGTCACTTTTATTCGCATGCGAACGAGCTGAGTAATTTTGGCTGGCAGTGCGTTAGCTTAAGCAACTAACGCAAACTAACGCAAACTTAACGCGGTCGTAAACGCGACCAGGTGACTTTTAACGCGAGCGTTACCTTACCTATAGGTGTAACGCATACGCAAGCGAATGTCATACGCGGCTGCGACTGGTGCGATTGCGTATGCATATGCGAATGCAGCGATTGATATCGCGAGTTTTACGCGACCCTAAACGCGACCAACGCGAGCGTATCGCCAAACGCAAGAGATTGCGAATTGCATACGCGACTGCCAATCTTGCGAAAGCAAGTGCGATTGCGGCTATAGCGTATGCATTCGCAGCATTTTCGCTTACCTTAGCGCTACCATTTTACTTTTAACGCGAGCGTATCGCCGAACGCAAGGTTTTGCGAATTGCATACGCGACTGCGAACCTTGCGATTGCGTATGAATATGCGAATGTGGCGTATGAATATGCGAATGTGGCGAATGACATCGCGAGTTTTACGCGACCCTAAACGCGACCAGGTGACTTTTAACGCGAGCGTTACCTTACCTATAGGTGTAACGCAAACGCATGCGAATGTTGCGATTGCGTATGCAAATGCGAATGTGGCGAATGATATCGCGAGTTTTACGCGACCCTAAACGCGACCAGGTGACTTTTAACGCGAGCGTTACCTTACCTATAGGTGTAACGCAAACGCATGCGAATGTTGCGAATGCGTATGCAAATGCGAATGTGGCGAATGATATCGCGAGTTTTACGCGACCCTAAACGCGACCAGGTGACTTTTAACGCGAGCGTTACCTTACCTATAGGTGTAACGCAAACGCATGCGAATGGCTGCGAGTGGTGCGAATGCGTATGCAAATGCGAATGTGGCGAATGATATCGCGAGTTTTACGCGACCCTAAACGCGACCAGGTGACTTTTAACGCGAGCGTATGCCAAACGCAAGGGATTGCGAATGGCATACGCGACTGCGAATCGTGCGAATGCATGTGCGAATGCGACTTTGGCGTATGCATTCGCAGCATTTTCGCTTACCTTAGCGCTACCATTTTACTTTTAACGCCAGCGTATCGCCGAACGCGAATTGCATACGCGATTACGAATCTTGCAAATACGTATGCATGTGCGAATGCGGCAAATGATAACGCGAGATTTACGCGACCCTAAACGCGACCAGGTGACTTTTAACGCAAACGCATCGCCAAACGCAAATGGTGTACGCGACTGCTATTTTTTGCAATACACGTGCGTATGCTACTTCTGCGAAAGCATTCGCAGTATTACGCAAACCGAAGCGCTTCCAATGTACTAAAACGCGAGTGACTGCGATTTGCATACGGGACGCGCCACGATGTACGGCCAATCATGCACGACAAGGTTTTACAAAAGCAGTACAAGAGCTGTACAAAGTTCATTTGCACATGATCTGATAACCACAACATTCCCGGTCTCCAAGATGCATTTGACTATTTAATTGCCTTCAGTTGTCTCATCTGGGTGATTGTCTAGTTTGTAGAATAGTCTCTAGACACTGCAGCAGCCAGCTGGCCCGCTGGCTGTACTCTTCGTGAGTCTGGAACCCACTGAAACACCCCCCCCCACACACACACACACATTTGAACCATAAACGCCTGAATAACAGTTACGAATGATTTGCAAATCCTATAATGGCCGAACTCAGCCAGCAACTCTTACCATGTCAACAGCTTCAACAGTCTACATGCCAGAAAAAGTGGACACACAAATGTTGCGAGCATGGAACTGGTCCACAATACAGCCACTATTGTCTTCGTATTGAACTTCTCAGTCCTCGCCGCCGCTTGTGTCATCTTCTTGAACGGCAGCATATTTCTGCATATCAAAGGATCACAAGGAAATTTTGCTTAAGCATGAACACAGTAGTTGTGGGCATGTCACGTACAAACATGGCTGTAGGTGTGACACCTGGATAACATGCCTCGAATTACAGCAATAAAAACATTTAGTGAATAACCATGGACCAGAGGCTTCCCATGCATACCTTACCTTCGAACGGCCCCTGCGTGGCCTGCCACTGCCCGTTTGATGCCGGCTCCTGTTCATATCCTTGCCACCACCCTTGCCCTTCTCCTGTTCCTTGCAGTTCTCCTTCTGCTCGCTCGTGTCCTTGGAATGTAAAATGGCACGGCATAATGTCAGTGCGTCTATACAAATGGATCCATATGCACCTGCAGGTGCATGATGCAGCTGCATGATGAAAACTTACTGCTGGTGCAGTCTTGCCCCCCTTTTCCTTCTTCCCGCTGCTTGCCTGCGAACGAATGGTGGACCATTAAAGAGTACAAACGGTGGATTCTTGTTATCAAAATGCTGAATCATTGGGCTTTACGTTACACTGTCAGCATTGAAGGGTCAAGCACCTGCACCTGTCACCTGCAGGTGAGTATTGGAAATGCATATGCAACAAGTCCATATGTGCAACAATACAGGATACAAATAGCACAAGTAATACAGTGACAAAAAGCTAACCTTGCTCTTGTCGGCCACTAGCCCAGCTGCATTGCTAGCCAATGCCTGAATGGCCGCAGCCATCTTCTCCTGCGAAAGGGGAGGCCACATACGGGCTTATCTACAAGTCACAAGTAACAAGTTCAGCACAAGTGCGGGGGTGTCCGTAAAAGCCGGGGGTGCATGCACGGCAAATCGTTTTTAGTGCGGTTACATGGGGAACCATCTATATGCAGGCTTCGATTTCATGCAGTCTGGCAATTGCCAGACCGCATGCACACGTCCATAAATGGATAGCACATCGGTATGCCCACATCACTGCCAAGCTGCATTCCCATGATGGATGCCAAATGTTCCCAAAGGTATGCTGAAAACGACCCATGGATGTGGAAAGAACTGACGTGCAGATTTACCCACGTTGGCTATTTCAACAAGTACTTACAGTCAGGACAGGAGGCTGAGTATTCACAGTTGACGTCACAGCAGAGGTAGTGGCCTTGACCAGGGGAACTGCTGCATCTGACGAAATACGCACTTCCTTGACCACCTGCTTTCGCTGCTGTTGTGCAGCAATAAGCGCCTGCTGGGATGGCGTAACCTCCTTCTTTTCGACAGCCAGGCGCCGCTCACTCGGGGGTGGCTTCTCACAACCAGGCAAGTTTGGATGCTCATATTTGTATTTCTGCCAAGCAGCACGTGCCTCACTATTCCACTTCTTCCGCCACAGCTTCTTTGCCAAAGCATCTGCAAAGGCGTGTCAGGGAAAGTTGCTGGTATCTCAAAATGTGCCGTGAATTACGGTCTTCCCGTTATTATGGTCAAGCCGCCAAATGGGCTGTAATTTACAGGCTCGACGGTGTAAACGTAGTTATGGTAGCTGAGCACCAATCTGGGGTCACTCTAAGTGCAAGCAGGCCCACCCTCCACAGTCCATCCCTGGCACATCCGCGCATCTACACCATCTACAGACCTCCGCCGTATCCATAAAAATGATATTCTTGTCTGAAGATCACTTTCCGGTAGGGCCGGCTCACGGGAAGTGCGAATTTGGGAGGCATCAGCTAGGCATCACTTCAAGGACTTCAGCGCTCGTACATTATCATCTGATAATGATTCATATGCTGTTCATATGTCGCTTCTAGTGGTATACATGTTTGAGGATTTAAGGGGTTGTTTTCACTTGGATTAAAAGTAACGGATTACAGTAATATTTAATCAGCGCCAATCCGCCGGTTATCCACGGGAATGTTTCAACGTATTTAAGTACAACAATTGCCATCCCGTGCATAAAATTCACAGACGAGTACTGCTGGACAAATTAAAAACTACCGAGTATCAACATTGCAGCACCTTTCGACGACACCCACGGTGTGGTGCATAATGCCGAAGAAAATGCGCAGAGCTTACACAAAACTGGGAACACCTGCAGCCGCTATAAAAGGTAATCCTCCCACCTCTCAATCAGGATTATATGAGGCGCTGTAAAACGTGCTCATCCGAGATTGTCAATCTCATACTTGGTGGCCACCAAGTAGCACATGTCTTACATGGAGTTTGAGCTTGTAGTATAGGAAAAATGTGCGCATTTCATAACATGTTCCTCTATATTTAATCCGCGAAGTGCGCGAATACGGGCGTAGATAACTACCGAATCCCGCCAATCTTATTCCGCCTAATCCATCCTAATCCGCGCGATGCTTCCATATGCGACGGATTAAGCCGACGTATAAAAGCCTGACTTTTATTCCATGTGGAAACACCCCCTAAACTAGCCTTCCTGCCTATATTTATTTAAGGGCCACTGGCAGCCCTAGGTTGAGTCCCTAATAACGTGTTTCCGGAATCTAGAGCGGCGGCGTTGTGTTTCCGGTGCCGGGCGTGTGATTGTCACCCATTATCAACCACACACACACACACATTATCAAGCAGAGACTCCGAAATAGGGTAGGACACACAAAATGCTGTCCTTAAAGTGTAAAAAAAATAGCAGAATGCGCGCATTTAAATGCCCAATAATGTTTAGGTGGGAACGGCTCCAAAAAACAAATCCGTATTTTACATGCGGTCGCCTCAGTGCCCAAAAATAACAATCATTAATACTAAATGACAGTTGACGGTTTACGTCATACATATATTAGGGTCCCTCTGCAAAATTACCTCGTAAATTCGCAGCCCTAGGCAGCCTCCACAGGATAAGCAGCCGCCGCTTCACGGTGGATTCAGTTCCCATGATATACCAAGGATATTACACCTGCCATACACCTTTCTTTCCCTCTTTCCCTACTGTTTTCCATATCCTCCGTCAGTCCCCTTCATATCTTCCATCATCACCTTTCCCACCTTGTCCTCTTCCCTCCCCTGATCCTGATCCTCTCCCCCACCTCCTTTCCCCTATACCTATTATCATCCTTGTCCTGCGTCCTTCTTCCCTCGCTCCTTTCCCTTCCTAGTATCCTTCCCTTTCAATCTCCCACCACCCTGTACGTGCACCTAGTAACTTGAAGCACCTTTGCGATCACCTACCAGCCTGTCCAGCCAGTGCAGCCTTCTCGTCCACCTTGATCTTCTCATACTTGGCCCGCTGTGCATTGAAGTCCGTAGCGTACCTTTATTACACGACACAATGGGCACAGTTAGTAGGTACTGAGGTTGATAAGCTTGTATTTATGCTAGTGGGCATTCAAATTTTTACCATACGAGTATGTCAGCTTAAGCGACACCCGACTTCCACTAACAAAGCTCAACATGTCCTAAGTAAAACTCTTCACCACTGTACTCACTTGGTGTACCGCTTCTTAAAGGTCTCGAACGGTACCTCGCCGAAACCTTGGCACACCTGCTCGTAAGCAGCAGCCATGCAGTTGTCCCACAACGGCTGCAGCGAAGGATCGTCCTGCACATCTCTGTATATAAGGACTCGCACACTTCCATTGGCCTTGTAAGGCAAATGGTCGCGTGCTGCTCGCACAATAGCAGCACTGACAGCCGTTCGCTCACGCCTGCGTGGCGTGTCGTCGTCGTCACTGCTGCACTTGTCGTCCTTCTGCACCTTCTTCCGCTTCCGCTGTTGAATATTCGAAGCAGCAGATTGGGTAACACTATAGAACACAGTGAGCTTCCTCGTCGCTGCGTCCCAAGACTTGCCCCCGAATGGAGCCTGACGCTTGTCCGTTGAATAGTCTATGCACCGCTGGTGCAAGCGGTGCACTAACACCCGCTTCAGGACTGGTTCAGGGTCTTCGGCGTCCGAGTCGTACACCTTCAAATCTATATCGTCAACGTTGGTCGCACCCGTTTCTTTTAGGAGCAGCTTTTGAAATTCGTCTAACGTGGTGCTAGATTCCGTGTCGATGCGTCCATAACAAGAGCCTTTCTCACGGCGCATAACTAGTTTGCAGACTTTTGGTACAAGTAGGGCCATCTGTGCGCTTTAAGATCACGCAACAATTCTATGTACATGTTCGCGGACAATGAAGGCATACGCACTAAACGCAAAGCCGTCGCCAATACGGGTGTGAAGTTCAGGGTAGGAAGGGATGCACCCCTACGTGCCATCCACAAAGCTATGGGGTTGCAGCAATATGACCTTATCCCAGTTGAGGTTTTCAAAACGCATATCATGTATCGCTCATAACCTGAAAGGCATCAGTGTAATGCATTCGTGTTAAAAGTCAACTGCTCGCCTGTATGACAACGTCAAGTGGGCATTACTTGCTTAAGGGGGTTTATACACTTGGATTATAAGTCTTGGATGAAGGCTTAATCCGTCGCGTATGGACACATCGGCGGATTATAACGGATTAGGCGGATGAAGGCGGGCGGGATTACCTAGAACTCTACGCACGTATTTGTGCGCTTCGCAGATGTAATGTAGAAGAATATGATATAAAATGTGCACATTCGTCCTATACTACAAGCTCGATTTCGGTGGAAAATATTGGCAACTAAGCGACAACCAAATATCTACTTCACAATTACAGATTAGCACGTTTTACAGCGCCTAGTACAAAACCTTAATGATAGCTGGAAAGCAATCCTTTACAAAGGCTGAAGGTGTTCCTACTTTTGTGGAAGCTTTGCGCTACTTGTTCAGTACTTTGCACCAGACCGTGAGTGTCGTTCAAAAGTGCTGCAAGGCCTTCATGTTCATACTCGATAGTCTTTTAAATGTCCAGCAACAGTGTACACATCACTTGCACTGAATGGCTATTGTTGTACTTCAATCAGTTATTTAATCCAGACCTTTGGAGTATTCCTCGGGGATTAGCATTGGATTGGTGCCGATTAAAAAAAAACCTGAATCCCTGACTTTCCATCCTAGTGGAAACAGCCGCTCAGATAACGCACTGCCAGCCAAAACTACTCAGCTTGTTCGATGGCGAATGAAGATAAAGTGCGTTAGGCCATACGCACAAGCGAACCGGTGCGTGAACAGTGCATAAAATCGCGTTTGCGTCGCGTAAAAAGCGCGTTAATGCCCCGTGACGCGAGTTTAACGCGACGTAACGCGATCACCCCTTCTCATAGTGCGTGTCTGTCTGTCTGTGTGTCTGCCTCTGTGTCTGTCTCTGTCTGTCTGTGTGTCTGTCTCTGTGTCTCTCCTTTTGTCTGTCTCTGTTTGTCTGTCCGTGTGTCTGTCTGTCTGTGTGTGTGTGTGTGTGTGTGTTTGACTGAAATGGGTGGGTGGGTGTGTCTGTGTGTCTGTCTTTGTATGTGTTTGAGTGTGTTACAAGTTCCATACAAGTGCGGGGTTGTACATAAAAGCTGGCGTGCCCATGGACGGTAAATCGTTTGAAGTGCAGTTACATGGTGGACCATCATTGTCCTCCCTCGTCCACTTGAGCATATGAAGCGCCATAGAGCAACGTGCCGGGTCTCCCAGACTTCCGAGGGGAACCTGGCTAGTGCCAGGGGTGGGGCCTCAGTCAAATCGTGCGCATGTTGTACCCTTGAAACGCGAGGTCATGTTCGTACTTAGCCCGTGTACTAGTGTACGCCGGGCATTTCACAAAGGCATGCATTTCGCCTTGAACCGCCCTGCAGTCACAAAGCCTGCAGGTGCGTGCTGTGTGCTCACAGCTGTTAGGTTGGTCATGACGTTGATCAATCTCTAACTCCCAACAGCCTGTTACCCGGAAGCGTTGAGTTGACAGTCCTCGCCGAGGCAGGAAGGAGACCAACCCAGCGGCAAGCACTAGTCTGCATAGACGTGTATACAAAAACAATCTATATGGCGGCAGCGGAGTCTTGAACTCCGAACACCTAGTATTCGTGATACTTCAGTGTCTGGCCAGTGCACCCCACCCGGGTAGCTTATATCTCGGCCTACCTGCCGGAGATTCCCTACCATGGTCCTGCCGTACTAGGATAATGTCGGTGGGGCCCCGGGGCCCCAGCCCATTAGGTTTGCTACGAACAACCGCCATGTTCGAGACATGTGACGAAACTCATAACATGTACGAAACTCGAGTCGAATCGTTAACGAAATAACAGTTATTGTCAAGAGTAATCGTTGAAATATTCTAAGGGAAATGTAGCTTGCTACAATGTGTGTGTGTACATGTATGTGTGAGACTGTGTGTGTGTGACTGTGTGCGTGTATGTGTGTGACTGTGTGTGTGAGACTGTGTGTGTGTATGTGTGTGAGACTCTGTGTGTGTGTATGTATGTATGTGTGTGTGTCTCTCTCTCTCTCTCTCTGTGTGTGTGTGTGTGTCTCTCTCTCTCTCTGTATGTGTGTGTGTGTGTGTCTCTCTCTCTGTGTGTGTGTGTGTGTGTGTCTCTCTCTCTCTGTCTGTGTGTGTGCATGTTTTCATGTTACCCCAACTCCACCATGTGCCCCAACAGTGCTGTGATTGTGTGGTTGTCTGTGTGTTTTTGTTACCCCAACATCACCTGCTTGTGTCTGCCTGTCTGCCTGTCTGTTTGTATACAACTACCCATCTGTCTGTTTGTCTGTCTATCTCGATAGATTAGGTACGTAGGCATGGATAGCTAGATGAAGATAGATGAAGAGTCTGACTTAAGTCTGAAGCTTCATGACTAAAAAATGCTCCCACGGGTATCTTTTATATTTTCCAAAGCTCACAGCCCAGTGCAGAGAGACTGTATGTGCAGTACTTGATCAAGTACAGGACGTACAGTCTCTCTGCACTGGGCTGAGAGCTTTGGGAAAACTTAAGCTCGGAAACCGGGGGATAAAAAGGCTTTTGTTTGTGTAGCTACACCAGCCATGTAGGTTTGCTGGTTTGGTTTTCCAAGATCCCCCATGCAAAAGATCTAGACAGAGAACCCGCTGCCCTTTATATGCTGTTTGGTAACTTTGAGGAGAAGTGCCAGCACTCCACGTCCTCCCTGGTGTGGCAGGCCTTAGGGGGCAAAGGGAGGGGGGGACATGAAAAGTGAGTTGTGAAATGTGATTCCCCGACCCTCCCTAACCCCCATACCCCGCCAACCTCCGTTCCCCGACCCTCCCAACCCTCCCAACCCCGATTCCCCGACCCTCCCTATCCCCCATACCCCGCCAACCCCCGTGCCCCGACCCTCTCGACCCTCCCAGCCCCGTTCCCCCACCCTCCCT